AAATAAAACTACATCTTTATAAATATATATAAATATGTATGTGTATACATTTATACAAATATTTGTTATATATATTTATCTATATACTAACTTATATATGAAAAGATCGATTTTGCTGAAGTATTTAAAAATTTAATTAGATATGCAAATCTGAAAATAATTATGTTGAACTATCAAAATAATTATATAAGACGTTTAAGCATAATAGACAATGCTGCATAAAATTTTACAATTTTCTAATAGCAACCAACGTTCTACATAATTATTTTGATAATCCATAACAAAATTATTTTTAGATTTGTATCTTTTAAAGAAGGATATTAAGTTAGAGCTGTTTTTTTGATCAAAATGAAAAAGAAATGTACAAATTACGTATCATATTAAAGGACTACTTAAGCAGAATGTATCTTGGGGAAACATCGGGAACTTGGCAGAAATCATTATCAAAGACACAATTAAAAATTGCAATTTAATAAAATTTTAGATAAGTAGCTCTTTAATATGACATATAATATTTGTATATCTCGGAACTTTTTCATTTTCAGATTGAGGCCGAGAATCCCTAATTTAACAACCTGATCCTTTTTAGATACTTTGATAAAACTTTCTTCTTTTTGTATAGTTATGTATGAATAATCACATAAATAAATTTTAAACACGCGACATTCTGTTTAATAATATAGGATTAACTAGTGTCACCAGCAGGCGTCAATTCCTCGCGTTCCAGCGGCAAGTCGTCGCAAAAAAAATTGACAAGTGCATCAAATGACTGTGTCGAGATCGTTATCGTCGTTTCCACCAGACACCGACCCTGCACGGATTTGTATCGCGTGTTCCCGCGGATCTCGTCATACGTTCCCGTTATGAGCATTGTGCACGAGACAGAACACGGAATTGTCACCACAAATTACAGAATCCGGCGGGCAGACAGACGACCATAAACGATCTGTTCTCGAGTCGAGACAACGAGGAGAAGAGAATAAAATCATACAACGGACATACTTTACAGAATTCTTCGTAAATCGCGCACTGCGTCAATAGCGAAAGAGTTTCGTTATTAGAAATTATCAAAATCTTTTATTCCAACAATGAGATATATAATATAAAATAATATATTTCCTAAATATTCAAAATATTTTTAAATCTTTGATTTTAATATTAATAATGATTTCTTAAATTTCTTTTGATTGAAAATTATATACACACATGAAATATTTATAATTAATATTGCATAAAACACACAAGCACTATATTCTATGTGCGTTCGCACTTATGTGCGAAATATATTTAAATATATTTAAATATATTTAAATATATATTTAAATATATTTAAATAAATTTTATTAATATATTTAAGAAAATTTTTTTAATATATATTTAAGAAAATATATTTAAGAAAATTTTATTATTTTATATAGTAATTTTAGAACTTTTAAAAGCATTTCAAGCATTTATTATTTTGTTATTAATATTGTACACATTGTTATTATATTTATTTTTTTTTTATAATTAATTTAAGTTAAATGTTAAAATACTCAAAAGATTCTGCGACAGTGTACTTACACTGCTTAATAAGCAATTATCTTAATCTTTTGTCTTGCTTTTTCATCTTGTATGTCTAAATAGAATTGAATATATATGAACCAAATGGACAATTGAGAGCCATTACACAATTCTTAGTATTGTAAATTATTTAATAAATTATTTTTAACATAAAAAACTAAACAAATATCGATGTTTCGGCTGTATTCTTTTCAGCCTAAAGAAAAGACCAATTGATTTCAAGTTTTTAAAGATTCGCAGTTGAATGCAATATAGAACAAAATTTCAACTCTATAAATCTTTCTCTTTCACTAAAAAAGAGTAAAATTTTATTCTAAAGAATTTAGAAAGAATATAAAACATCGTATAAATCGTTGTATTTGAAATGTAAGCCTTTTCAGAATGCAAAAATTGCATATTTTGCCCTAAAATTTTATGCTTCGTTACTTTTTTTACTTTCTCTTTATTTAAGTTTTTATTGTTTATTTTATTGCTCAACTTTCACAACCATAAAATTTTTCCTTCCTTTTTTTATCACTATTATTCTTTTTTATTTTTATCTCTGATTTTTTTCTGCAGTGTCTCAAATATAGTGACCGTTGTAAAAAATAAGAGATTATTACCCTAAAAAGAATTAGTGACCTCTAACACGAACCTTTTTTGGAAGTACAGGTTTTTAATTGAAATGAGACTCATCAATTTAATTTTAACTGTAATAAATTTTTTACAAAGAATTGGAAATAATTTTACCACCAATCAATCTCATAAATATAATTCGTCTTATCTCATCATAGAGACAAATTATATATTTCTATAGTTATATACTGACAATCAGATTTTAAATTCGATTTTAAAATCTTTAAAAAATAATCAAATTTTATAGAATTTCTTTTGTATATTACCGATGGAAATTCAATGATTAAATTGTAAATCGAGAATAATCCATTATAATTTATGATAAACTTCTATAAATATGTCCATTTTAGAAAATTAGATAAAACTCTGCGAAATTTCATCCGTATATTTCATATACGTTTTTCAATTCGCTAAAAAAAACAATAGAATTTTAAAGACTCAGTTTTGTGCACCGCCGATAGAATAAATTTCAGATTAATAACGATTTTATTTGTATCGTTAATAAACACGATTTATTGTTATTCGTTAAGTAAAAAGTAAGTAAGATAGAAATGAATTAATGCCAATTCATTATTTTACTATTCTTTTAGATACAATAGATTGAATGCGATAGAAAGAGATAGAGTTTCTATCGTTAGTTTTCAATAGAATACAAATCTTATAAGAACCAATAAAATACGAAGGATTTATATTTGATATTAAAAGATTAACGATACAATTTATAAAAAACGATACAAATTGATAGATATTAGAGGAAAAGCCCCTATTATGAGATACTGAGTTCATTTTGGATAAATACTAGAAATCTATGAGCAGAATTTAAAAAAATAATAGGTCATTTTGAAGGGAATTTAGTAAGCTTTAAGATAATGTTATGTAAAAAATTTAATTCAAATTTCATTTTTTTTTTTAATTAAAGAAATGTAAAAAGTGAGCAAATCGCAAAGTCAAAAAATTGTGCTCCTAATTATGAGATGTCCCGAGAAATTGATAATAAAACGCAAAATATATCAGTATTGCAATTAAAAAACTTTATTTAATGTTTCTAAAATACAAATCAATAGCTAGTGCGCGTACAAAAGTATGCGATGCATTGTAATTGACTCGTCTTTACGTTGTTGGAATCAAGCATCGCAAAAACAGGCACTCGATGTTTATTCTGATTGTCCTTTTTATTTATTATTGTACAATAATATTTATATTTTAGCAATGATTTTCACTGTACATAGACGCTTATAAGTTATTTCATACTAGAAATACCTTAGGGATCTCATTTTACAATTTCCAAACTTTACGATTTTACGATCATCAAATCTAACTTTTGTAATTAACAATTCAACATATCACATATTTTTCTATTACTCTTAGTACTTACTCTATCACCACATGAAGAATTTATTGCCAAATATTTACATATTAAATAATAAATAAAGTTTAAAAGCTCAATGAAACTTGACATTTAAATTCTAAAATCTTTTTTTGCAACTAGACATGATTTAATAATGAATTTTTCACTAAATATTAGGTTGTCCGGAAAGTTCATGCCGACTAAGCTATATAATTTAATAAATGTATACTAAAATTTAAATTTTCTGCGTTTCAATTTTCCTTCAACATCGGCACGAACTTTCCACGGACAATCCAATAGTTTTCAATCCAAAAACAATAAATTTATGATGGAACCAATAGATAGCGTTTATTAGTTTAGCGGAAACACCACTATCTCATATTAGGCGCCTATCTCATAATAGGGGTCTTTCTTCTATATCATTCTCAATCGTTCTTTATCAACTTTTTTTTACCAGAGATATAATTATTTTAATGATCCGAATGAAAATTATATATATTTTCAGATTTGATCTAAAAATGTTTTTAGGTAGATACTTCAACAAACTTCTTTCTATGTAGATAGATATAAAAGATAAAAGTAGTGACATTCTGTTAGATCGACACTCGTAGATATTCTTCCTTGCATCAACTGTGGAAGCCAGTCGAAGTTTGTAGTATAAACAGGCAAGAACAG